AAATATATTTTTTTCTATTTTTGTACAAATGACAAAAATTTTAAAAATAAATTTTATGTTTATATGATTATATTATAAAGTACCAATCTATTTCCTAAACTCTTTTGAAAAAGTCTGTTACAACTTCATTTAACGTCACAACAAATAAAATTAACATTCGCCATAAGTTACATTTATATAAAAATATCGAGCTATATTAATAAATATTTAAAAAAAAATAGTCAAGTTTTTAGGGTCAAATATAACCAAGTTATATCAACTTTTTTACTTCAAATATATATACATGTATGTATGCGTGTGTTAAATTTATCATAGTTTAATTATATAAAAATATTGAGCTATATTAATTAATTAAAATATATATTTTCTATTTTAATATAAATGATAAAAAAATGTATATTGAACTAATTATATAATAATTTATCAATCTAATTGCAAAATCCTGTTTGTCCCAGAAATTTTGAAATCTTTTGATAGGTTCTAGGACTAATTCCTCACGACTCAAGAGATGTACATGCAGTAGTATAATAAAATGCTTCTATACATCTCCTAAAATACAAAATTAGATTTTATCCTTTCTCTTAAGCAAAATTCAAGATTTTATATGACATTAGATTAATGATGCAAAATATTGCATTATACTTAATGAATCTTAAGAAAAATTGAAATGAGAGCAAATGGCAATTATATTAAAGTTTATTGATAAGATATTCGAGGTCAAGAACATTATGGTATAAGTAATATGTTGTGTAGGTGGAATGGTATAAGTACACAGCTCCTCCTCGACCTCCGCCAGGACTTCCCCCGGACACCAGACTGACGCCGAACTTCTGTCGGACCACCGACTAACTCAAGACTTCCGCCGGACCACCGCCTGACTCTAGACCGCCATCGGACCACCTACTGATGACCTGACTTTTGTTGGATCATCAAGTGGCACCATGCTTCTGCTAACCCACCGCCTTACACCAAACTTCTATTGAACTATTGAGTGGTGCCAGATTTCTGTTAGACCACCGCCTAATGCCGTACTTCCACTAGACCACAACCTGACGCCAGATTATCACCAAACTACTACCTGATGCCAGAATCCTATCGGACCACCAACTACAACCGGGATTCCGCTGGAAAATTACCTGACGCCGGACTTCCGCCCGACTGAACATCATTAACCTTAACCTAACCTCCATTTGTAACTAGATTTTATCAAGACAATTCAATATGATAATCTAATCATCTTCGAGGATGATTCAGTCAATTGTAACATGCTCAAACACAAGTGGAATCATTTCAACTAGGTGAGGTCACATAGTTTTTCCCCTTTCTTGGATTTTCCACGTAAAAATCTTGTGTTCTTTATTTGTATATTGGATATCCGTACAATGCTAGGACCTAATATTCTAACCATATCACAGTGTATATTCTAGCCCGCAACAATTTAGCGATGTCTGTGGGAATTTCTAATCCCACTATCCTAAGCACCACTTCGATGTCCAACAGATACAGTAATCGTAGCTTGGGAGACTACCACTTCAGCACACATCAATCAAATAATCCGTCTCTAAATCAGGGATGATAAGTGTCTATTTCTTTTTGACCCCGGTGGGCTAAAGCCTGTTGGGGAAGGTACTTCAAGACCATCCTTGGAAGACAGTATCTAAAAATAGATGAATCTTAAAATGAGGTCATTTAACTCCTACAAGGGACTTAGATCCTAAGACTAGCAGTACATGAAGAGATTCTTCTTCCTCGAGATCTACCGCTAACTAAGGGTCATTTGAACCTCTTCCACCGAAATATCTTTCTCCAGCAATAACTTCTCTTAAAAATGAGAGAGAGAAAGTCCTTGAGAGAGAAAGTCCATCCTCCTATTTTTAATTTTTGATTTTCCGAGATTTTTGCAATCGGTGTTGGTGGTAGTAGATGATCGCCGGCGTTTGTTCAGCATTTTCATGAATGCTTCACGACCTACGAGACCTCTTCATCCCATTGGTAGAGGTTCAAATGGTATTGTGATCAGAGAAGGAGAGTTACCCCATTGCCGTCAAGTTCATGTTGAAGGTAAGGGAAAGAATGTGATGGTTGAAAATATGGCTGGGAAGGAAAATTTTGGTGTAAAAGGAAATCCAGGTTTGGGAATTCTTGAATCATCGGCGTCGGATGATTAAATTCTACATGTGAGCAATTTCTCTGGGGTTCTTGATACGAGTAAGGGTCGTAATATCGATGATGATCTGTTGTCGGTGGGAGTTCTGAAGGAAGTTGAAGTTGTAGAGGATCATATTAAGGATCCAGTGGATACTGAATTTTGAAAGAATAAAAGTAATGAGGTAGCTGAAGCTTAGTCGAAACCAAAGCCATTCAAGATATCATTTAATAAGGACCAGGTCGAATTTTTAGAAGATGGCATTGCTGTTAAGTTGAAAGCAGATATGGAGGCAAAGAATTCTTAAATTTTGAAGAATTCGGTGGTGATTAAAGTGCTGGGCAACAATGTGCCTTTTTCGATTTGTAGTACCGAACTGAGAAGGCAATGGAGCAAGTTTGGTAGTTTCCACTTGATGTCTATTGGTATGAATTGGATTCTGTGTTCATTTCATACGAGTGAGGTGGTTGAAGAAGTTCTGAACAGGGGACCCTGGTATGTAAATGGATTCATTGTTGGGATGGATAGGTGGTCTGCTGCATTTGATCTGAACACGTTTAAAGGAGTTTCAGCACCAGTATGGGTTAGATTTCCGTGTCTACCCTTGTATTACTAGGATGAGGACAACATTGCAAGAATTGCATCTTGCTTGGGAACGCCAATGTACATTGATGGTAACAATTTCGCTAGGGTAAACAGGAGTTTGCTCGTGTATGTGTGAGGATTGATTTGGAGAAGAAATTGGTGGAATGGTATAAGTACACAGCTCCTCCTCGACCTCCGTCCGGACTTCCCCCGGACACCCGACTGACGCCGAACTTCTGTCGGACCACCGACTAACTCAAGACTTCTGCCAGACTACCGCCTGACTCCAGACCTCCATCAGACCACCTACTGATGACCTGACTTCTGTCGGATCATCAAGTGGCACCATGCTTCTGCTAATCCGCCGCCTGACACCAGACTTCTATTGAACTATTGAGTGGCGCCAGATTTCTGTTAGACCACCGCCTAATGCCGTACTTCCACTAGACCACAACCTGACGCCAGATTATCACCAAACTACCGCCTGATGCCAGACTTCTATCGGACCACCAACTACAACCGGGATTCCGCCGGACAATTACCTGACGCCGGACTTCTACCCAACTGAACATCATTAGACCTTCTCTTAACCTCCATTTGTAACTAGATTTTATCCAGACAATTCAATATGATAATCTAATCATCTTCTAGGATGATTCGGTCAATTGTAACATGCTCAAACAGAAGTGGAATCATTTCAACTAGGTGTGGACGCATAGTTTTTCCCCTTTCTTGGATTTTCCACGTAAAAAACTCTTGTTCTTTATTTGTATATTGGATATCCGTACAATGCTAGGACCTAATATTCTAACCCTATCACAGTGTATATTCTAGCCCGCAACAATTTAGCGATGTCTGTGGGAATTTCTAATCCCACTATCCTAAGCACCACTTCGATGTCCAACAGATACAGTAATCGTAGCTTGGGAGACTACCACTTCATCACACATCAATCAAATAATCCGTCTCTAAATCAGGGATGATAAGTGTCTATTTCTTTTTGACCCCGGTGGGCTAAAGCCTGTTGGGGAAGGGACTTCAAGACCATCCTTGGAAGACACTATCTAGAAATAGATGAATCTTAAAATGAGGTCATTTAACTCCTACGAGGGACTTAGATCCTAAGACTAGCAATACATGAAGAGATTCTTCTTCCTCGAGATCTACTGCTAGCTAAGGGTCATTTGAACCTCTTCCACCGAAATATCTTTCTCCGGCAATAACTTCTCTTAAAAATGAGAGAGACAAAGTCCATAAGAGAGAAAGTCCATCCTCCTGTTTTTAAATTTTGATTTTCCGAGATTTTTGCAATCGGTGTTGGCGGTAG